TTTCCACTTTGAATTTTTATTCTCACAAAAAATAGAAGATTTACTGTTATGCAGACTACTGCATTAGTGTAAAAAATGGTATAAATAATATTGGTGCACTTACGAAAGAATATTAAACTTACCAGTTGACGTGTATTGGATGCTTGGCATGATTTATTTACTTTTGAACTTTGGTAAAAATCAAACATTTCTGCTACTTTGAGCTCAATTTCAAAGGTACTTTTCATTGTAAAACCAGTCAAAAACATCTCATTTCTGTAATATGTCTTCCATTCTATAAAATGAGACCAAGAAAACTAGAATACAACAATAAATACCATACGAAAATACTGTGCAAAGTTGCTGTTTTATTCCAAAAAACGGTCAAAGTTTTTTTTTTTTCTCATTATGCACTGTGTGCTGCAGGATTTTTTTTATACTGTGCACACTGACCACATAGACCCATTCTTTCATATGTAGGCCTACCAGCTTTCTCCCACTAGATTTGAGGGCGCTAGAATTTAGGCGTACTAGTACGTCAAAAACCCTGGGTCATAAGCCGTACTAGTACGGCCGAAACCCTTAAAGGGTTAATGAACCTATCAGTAGAGAGACTGCTACATTTTCCCCATTTTTGTCACTGCTTTCTCATCCACTGGCTTGCTTCTGTGGATTTACAACCATCTGCATAATTTATAAGAACATAAGAAAGAAGATAAGATAAGATTTCGTTCGGATTTTTAACCCTGGAGGGTTAGCAACCCAGGATAACCCAAGAAAGTAAGTGCGTCATCGAGGACTGTCTAACTTATTTCCATTGGGGTCCTTAATCTTGTCCCCCAGGATGTGACCCACACCAGTCGACTAACACCCAGGTACCTATTTGCTGCTAGGTGAACAGGACAACAGGTGTAAGGAAACGTGTCGAATGTTTCCACTCGCCGGGAATCGAACCCGGGCCCTCCGTGTGTGAAGCGGGAGCTTTAGCCACCAGGCCGCCGGGCCACTGCAAGGAACACTGCAACAGGCCTACTGACCCATGCGGAGCAGGTCCATGTCCCCTGCAGATTAGACCAATGACCCCCCACCCCCCGGATTAGCCCAATGACCCACCCAGTCTGATCATCTCCACTCAAGGATGGAGCACTGCACCAGACCCAGCAGCACAAGCTAGTCAGGTCCAACTCACACCCACCCACACCCACTCATGTATTTATCTAACCTATTTTTAAAACTACACAACGTTTTAGCCTCAATAACTGTACTCAGGAGTTTGTTCCACTCATCCAAAACTCTATTACCAAACCAGTGCTTTTCTATATCCTTTCTGAATCTGAATTTTTCCAACTTGAAACCATTGCTGTGAGTCCTGTCTTGGCTGGAAATTTTCAGCATGCTATTTACATCCCCTTTATTTATTCCTGTTTTCCATTTATACACCTCAATCATATCCCCCCTAATTCTACGCATTTCGAGAGAGTGCAGATTCAGGGCCCTCAGTCTGTCCTCATAGGGAAGATTTCTGATACATGGGATCATCATTGTCATCCTCCTCTGTATGTTTTCCAGAGCATTTATATCCATTCTGTAATACGGAGACCAGAACTGAGCAGCATAGTCTAAATGAGGCCTAACCAAGGATATATAGAGTTGAAGAACAACCTGAGGACTTCTATTATTTATACTTCTAGATATGAAGCCAAGAATTCTGTTAGCTTTATTACAAACACTAATGCACTGTTGTCTTGGTTTTAAATTACTGCTAACCAGAACTCCTAAATCCTTTTCGCAGTCTGTAGTATTAAGATCTACATTATTTAGTTTATATGTGGCATGGTTATTTACCTGTCCAACATTTAGAACTTTGCATTTGTCAATATTAAACTGCATCTGCCACTTCTCCGACCATTGCATCAGTCTATTCAAATCATCCTGGAGTGCTCTAGTGTCCTCATTAGAATGAATTGGACGGCCTATTTTGGTGTCATCAGCAAATTTGCTTATGTCGCTATTTATTCCCACATCTATGTTGTTTATGTAAATTGTGAACAACAACAACGGGCCCAACACTGACCCCTGAGGAACACCGCTTGTGATGTGCCCCCATTCTGATTTCTCCCCATTTATGCAAATTCTCTGCTGTCTATTTGTCAGCCATGCCTCTACCCAGGAAAAAACTTCTCCTCCTATTCCGTGTGCCTTAAGTTTCCTCAATAGCCTCTGATGTGGAACTCTATCGAAAGCCTTACTGAAGTCCATATACACAATATGATATTCATTACCATGATCTACCTCCTCAAACACCTTAGTGAAAAAAGTTAGTAAATTCGTAAGACAGGAACGCCCCTTTGTAAAATCGTGTTGCGTTTCATTAATCAATCTGTGCCTGTCAAGATGGCTGTGAATTGCTTCGGCAATTATTGATTCCATAAATTTTCCCACTATGGAGGAAAGGCTTATTGGTCTATAGTTCGAAGCCAAGGACCTGTCATCTGCCTTGTAAATAGGTATTACATTTACCATTTTCCACTTATCAGGCACTATGCCAGATTGTAGTGATATATTAAAAAGATTAGCCAAAGGTATGCTAAGTTCCTCTTTACATTCCTTTAACACCCTTGCAAACAGTTCATCAGGGCCTGGGGATTTGTTAGGTTTTAGTTTCTCTATTTGTCTGAGGACCATGTCACTAGTTACCGCAATCGTACATAGTTTATTATCATCCTGTTCTACATAATCTATTATTTCAGGAATTCGCTAGTATTTTCCTGGGTGAAAACGAGAGGAAGTAGGTATTTAGAATTTCACACATATCCTTATCACTGTCAGTGATCTGACCAGAGTTACTCTTAAGTGGGCCAATCTTGTCCCTGATCTTACTTCTGTATACCTGAAAGAATCCTTTAGGTTAATCTTTGAATCCCTTGCGACCTTAGCCTCATAATCCCTTTTTGGATTTTCTTATTCCTTTCTTTATTTCTCTCTCTAATTGAATATATTGATTTCTTAACTGCCCATCCCCTTTTTTGGGATACTCCTATATATGCCTCTCTTTGACCAGTGAGATGTTTTAATCTATTGTTCATCCATTTGGGATAATTTTTTGTTAGATCCTAATTTCCCTACTCGGAACAAAAGTTGTCTGGGCAGCTAGAACTATGCTCTGAAAAATGTCATATTGGCAACCAAGATCACCTACCTGACCCATAGTCAGGACATCCCAATTTGGGCCCACCCAGGTAATTTTTCAGTCCCATGAAGTCGGCCAAGCAAAAATCGGGACAGAGATTTGATTGCAGTTATCTGGGTAATTCCATGATATATTAAAACTAAGTGATTTGTGATCACTTTCCCCAAGCTCATCATTAACCTCAAGATTATTAATTAGTGAATCTTTGTTGGCAAGAACCAAGTCAAGCAGATTGTTTCCTCTAGTTGGTTCTGTCACAACCTGTTCTAAAAAGCAATCCTGAACTGTATCAAGAAAGTCACTAGACTCAAGATTTCCTGTCATATTGTTCCAATCAATTTGTCTAGAGTTAAAATCTCCCATTATAACAACATTTTCATATCTAGATGCCTTATGAATTTTGTCCCATAACTTACTGCCCTCCCTATTAAGGTTTGGGGGTCTATAAATCACACCCAAAATTAATTTGTCATGTCCCTCGAAAAACTGTAGCCAAACAGATTTTGTGTTCGATGTCTCTAATCTTATATCATGTCTAAGACAACAATTTAAATTTTCTCTGACATACATTGCCACACCACCACCCTTCCTGTTGACCCTGTCAGTGTGGAATAGTTTATAACCCTGTATGTTGCATTCAGAAGGCATTTCTCTATCTTTCAGGTTGAACCAGGTCTCTGTTTATACCAAATACAAAATTTAAAAACCTACACATGCAAAGTAATCTTAGCTCATCTATCTTATTTCTTAGACTCCAAACTATTTGTATAGTGAACTTTAAGGGAGCTAGTCACTCGTTGCCCTCTACTATCCCTCTTTGTTTGTTGATCAATTGATTTGCCATTACTAGCAACTTTATTTTGAATATTGTCTTTTAAACATATCCCTGAGGTATCCCGGTAATAACTGCTGTTTTTAACCCTAATGCTACAGCCTGATTGTTTCCCACAAACACCCATACCTCTATAATCTATCAGTTTAAATTCCTAGACAAGTCATCAATTACCCTCTCAATTGAATTGGCTAATGCAACCACTCCATCCCCAGAGAGATGAACCCCATCCTTTGCATACATATCACGTTTGTCAAAGAATAGGTCCCAGTTATCAATGAATGGGATTGCAAGTTCATTGCAGTACCTGTCTAGCCAGCAATATATACCAGTTGCCCTAGACATCCATTCATTGCCCACTCCCTTTCTAGGCAAGATGCTACTTATGACTCAGTATAATGATGAAATTTGAAATTATGCTAGCCGAAATTAGTGCTGGATTACTGATGGAACCGGATAACTGATTGCCGGATTAGTGATGGCTGACCTTTACTACTATAAAGAAAGCCGCTTGTTATGCAGAGCATTTTGGGCAAATTAGGTCAGTTTTGTCCCAGGATGCGACCCACACCAGTCGACTAACACCCAGGTACCCATTTTACTGATGGGGAACATAGACAACCAGTGTAAGGAAACATGCTAAATGTTTCTACCCTTGCTGGGAATCAAACCCGAACACTTGTTGTGTGAAGGGAGAGTCTTAGCTAACACCAGGCCACGGGACACCTAGTCTGTGAAGTGACAGCGTTGTCTACCAGACCACGGGAGGTGCAAGGTGAAACGTGCAATCACTTCACTCATTAAAGATGAGTAGGGATGCTGCAGACTGATGGTTTTGAACTGTGATGTTTACACATTTCTGGCAAGACCACTATTGAATGAGTGTGAATATGCTTCCTTCTTTGGGTCACTCTACCCTGCTGAGAAATGACCAGTGTGATAAAAAAAGAACAACAACAGTTATGTCTTCTGTTTGTTATTTTTTGTATACATTTTCAGGTGGGTGAGATTTTCTTGGCTGCAGGGACAGCTTTTAATAAATTGGCAGAACTCACAATGCAGCTTCACCCAACAGCTGAGCAGTCACCTGCAGGGTAAGTAAGCTACAGCAAACAACTGAATAGTCACCTACAGGGTAAGTAAGCTACATTGAACAGCTGAGCAGACATGTACAAGGTGAGAGTTGCATCAGACTGTATAAATAATATTTGTCTTCGACGAAGGGTTTTGTATTATGCATCGGGTCCATTGACCTCCTTTAGTTGGACTCCCACTAATACGTATGTTACTACTGCATTTGTCATGTAGGTTAAAATCCAAATATATTTGTTACTGCACCTCAATAAAATTTATAATTGACTTTATTATGCACTTGTTGCCTCTCTGAGTGGTGCAGAAGTAAAAAAAATTACTGGACACATAATGGGTCCAGGGACTGCACAATAAATTAACTACCCTTAATGTATCTGATGTATTAACAGTGGAACCTTGGTATACGACCAGCTCCCTACTTGAACAAAGCTCAGCACTCGACCAAATAAATACGACCTGCCAGAACTTTGCTGTAAACAATTTAGTGTTTCTTCACATTTTTTGGTGTTTTTGTATTATTTGTATAAATAAGTCACCATGGGGCCTACGACGATTAGTGATAGCAGCCAACCAAACAGAAAATTGGTTGGGAAGAACTTGTTCGATACTCAAATGGAGCAGCACTCGAACAGCCTTATGGAGTGAATTAAGGTCACATACCGAGGTTCCACTGTATATGTTAAATTCCTTGCAAAGACTGCACACAATAGGTCTTTCAGATATGCACAAGTGTGTTTCAAAAAAATTTCCAGCAGGTGAAATTGCTGACCTAGAAAATGTACAGAGAACCTTCACGGCACGCATAACGGAGATAAAACACCTCAATTACTGGGAGCGCTTGAGGTTCCTAAAACTGTATTCCCTGGAACGCAGGCAGGAGAGATACATGATTATATACACCTGGAAAATCCTAGAGGGACTAGTACCGAACTTGCACACGAAAATCACTCACTACGAAAGCAAAAGACTTGGCAGACGATGCAACATCCCCCCAATGAAAAGCAGGGGTGTCACTAGCACGTTAAGAGACCATACAATAAGTGTCAGGGGCCCGAGACTGTTCAACTGCCTCCCAGCATACATAAGGGGGATTACCAACAGACCCCTGGCAGTCTTCAAGCTGGCACTGGACAAGCACCTAAAGTCGGTTCCCGACCAGCCGGGCTGTGGCTCGTACGTTGGTTTGCGTGCAGCCAGCAGCAACAGCCTGGTTGATCAGGCTCTGATCCACCAGGAGGCCTGGTCACAGACCGGGCCATGGGGGCGTTGACCCCCGGAACTCTCTCCAGGTAAATAACCTTAATATTAACTGGGAAGTTGCTGCCATTATATTTAGTACACAATGCATATACAGTACAACCAAAAAAGTCCTTGAGTCAGCTGTTTGATTGCTTCATGGCCAAATTTTAAAACCTCACAAGGATAGTGGAAACCTGATGTTATAACTATTCTTGCCATAAAGTCTCTTCTTCCAGCATCTACCTTGTTCCTTCAAGTGACTTAGTGCCTGGACCAAACAGACATCATGTGGCCTAGGTTAGGTGGCTTCTGTATATACAATATATATTCTGTATCCCTTCTATATACGTATATAAAATATTTGTATATTTGTTCATCTCTGTTTTACTTTTATATTATATTTTGATTTGTCTCTATTTCTCCTCTGTTCAGTTTCCTGCAACTGATGACTGGAATTGGCCCCATTTCTCTGTAAATAAGTGTTCTTTTCTTGCTCACTTTTTTCTTCAATTAGCCATTTGAAAGTTTCTGTGTGAGTTTTATATTCTAGTCTCCTTATTTTAGGTCTTGTCTTACTGATATCTTCTTGGAGCCTTCCTGTTTCTTTGTCCCTGATACACACAAACTATTTACCTTATATTTAGCCTGAGTGAAGGGTTAATCTTAGAAGCCTGAATTTATCTTATCTTGCATATTCTGTACATGCATATTTGTATAGTCACTTTGTTTTCACTGCAGGACTCAAGTCTCAGTTTGTGGCCTTGCCTTTTAATTAACTATACATGATTGCTCTAATTTGTTTTTTTCTCAGGGCTCTGTCATATGCACATTTATATTCCATGTTTAATACATTAAACTTCCTAACCACACTGAGATTGAAATACGGTACTGAAGTAAATGCACACTGAAATACAGTACTGTAGTAACCACACAATAAAATATAGTATTGCAATAACTGCACAATATTTGCTATAATTTTCTCCTGTTTCTTTTACACAGCAGTTATCTGAATTAAATTTCATCATCCATCTATTACTATTTACTTAATTTAAGTGTTCTTCTCTTAGGGATTTATGGAAAATTTTTGTTAATATTCTATATTTTGCAAAGGATTTTTTTGCTAAATCTCTAATCATATTCATATGTGTATTTTTTTTTTACTCACATCAGGTTTTTTGCTCTTGAACAGGAATAAGACAGCTAGAGGGAATGCATGTATGTGAAGGCATTCTAGGGCTGAGAGTGAATAGATACTTTTATTTCAGTGGGCACTTTCTTGTCATCAACTTCTCATGAGAGTAATGGTGTCTGATGTGTCATGTATTGCTTATTTTTATAAACAATAAAACAGTAAAACTTGAGTAATATGTAAATTACAAGAAATTTGTATGCTTTTTTTTGTTGTTGTTATATTTATCTTGAAATTTACTTTCATACAGTAATGATTGCTGTAGTTATAATATCTTAGTACATACCGAATCCAGACTTTAATAACTATGCTTATCTATACTCTGTTGTTTTGTGCTATTGCTACAGTCTTGTTTTTTATAATATAGGGATGTAATTTGGTTGGCTAGTGCTATTACGAAGAATTTATTCCCTTCAGCACAAAATGGACTGATGAAGAAATAGAAATGCTGCGATCATCTGTGAAAAGATTTGGGGATGATCTTAACGTTATCAGTCAGAGGATAAAGTCACGTACGGTGTAAGTGTCACATTTCTCCTGTTGCTTAACTCGGTCATTATATGGGATTCTTGCATTCTCGTACACCACAAGCCTAGTTCTGCTCCTTTAACTACAAATAGATAAGCACAGTGCAAGTTATATCACTTAATTTTGTATCAGATTAAATAAAGATTTGCTTAGGTAGGAATAAACTTTTTTGCAAAATTATAAGATGAGTGTAACGTTGGGAATATTTAAAGTAAAAATAAGTACTGTAGTAGTGTTTATAATTCCATTTTTACCCAACATTTCTGGCAACTTTAAAGCTAAAGACTAGAGAAATTAAGTTGCTTGAAGAGAATTTTTAAGTTCTACATATAAAGTAGCAATAATACTTAGTGTAACGTGAAGGTAGCTGTTGTTTGATTATACAATCGTATATGTAAGAGCTACAAATAATTAATGGCTGGCTTATAAGCTATTATAATAAAAATAGTAATAATAATATAATAAGAAAATTTTTTTTTTTTCTACCTGGTGATACTTATGGGAAATATTGTTTTTGAAGCTCAGTCTTAGACTAGGCCTCCTGTTAGGTGGCATGATCAGTCAACCAATTGGTATCTGCAACATGCACTCCACCATACTAATCAGCACCACAGCCTGGCTGATCAGGGACAAGTTGAAATTTTGCTTTCCTAATGTGTATTTGATGTAAGCATTCCCTGTTGCTTTAAAGACAGGAGTGAAAATTCATGTTAAAGCCTTTAAGTGGCACTCAGTTTTCAGTAAATAGTAGAAGGATAAAAAAAGGGGAGAGTGAAAGAGAGAGAGATGGGTTATGAGCTAGAGCTCTGTTCTCTATTATGAATAGAGGGCTATTCATAATATGGATTCTTTCCATATTATGAATAGCCCATAAATTTTTTAATGTGAAAAATCTAAATTTAGGTTAGGAAAGTTTTTAGTTTGATATTTTTTTTATCTGAAGAAAAGAGGCATCCAATTTCTATTGTTCAGAAATTTTTATGCAATTCAGACACCACCATAATTGCATGACTGAAAAAGCTTGATTAATGATTAGAATATTGTGCAAAAGTCTAGGCAGTAATGTATGCTTTTCATACTTCAATGTTAGCTTCACTGTTGGGTTTAGCTTCACATTTGGGCCCTGTTATCTGCATCAAGTTCCTACAAAGTTTGTCATGCACAAGGTTATTAGAGATAGAGCATTTCTACCAGTAATTAACTGTTTGTGATATATATTCACTCTTATACAGTCACACAAGCCCAGCACTGCATAAATCTTTTAATGGTGCCTGAACTGGTTTAAACTGAAATTCATGAGAAAAACTTAATGGAAATAGAGCAGATTTGGGTATGAACAAAATCTTATGGTTGGGTTTCAGTTTAAGTGTTGTGCCCCAAAAGAAATTGGACACTGCCAGATGAACCCAAAGCCCAGCATTACTTGATTGGAAATCAAGGAGGAATACCATACAATTTTACTGGATGGAGAATTTACTATCAAATTTTACATACAGGAAGATCTCGCATAATGTGGCAGTTATGCTCCTGAAATTGGGGCTATGTGTAAAATTGCACTGTGTAATATAATTTATTTATTTATTATCACACTGGCCGATTCCCACCAAGGCAGGGTGGCCCGAAAAAGAAAAACTTTCACCATCATTCACTCCATCACTGTCTTGCCAGAAGGGTGCTTTACACTACAGTTTTTAAACTGCAACATTAACACCCCTCCTTCAGAGTGCAGGCACTGTACTTCCCATCTCCAGGACTCAAGTCCAGCCTGCCGGTTTCCCTGAACCCCTTCATAAATGTTACTTTGCTCACACTCCAACAGCACGTCAAGTATTAAAAACCATTTGTCTCCATTCATTCCTATCAAACACGCTCACGCATGCCTGCTGGAAGTCCAAGCCCTCCCCACACAAAACCTCCTTTACCTCCTCTCTCCAACCTTTCCTAGGCCGACCCCTACCCCGCCTTCCTTCCACTACAGACTGATACACTCTTGAAGTCATTCTGTTTCGCTCCATTCTCTCTACATGTCCGAACCACCTCAACAACCCTTCCTCAGCCCTCTGGACAACAGTTTTGGTAATCCCGCACCTCCTCCTAACTTCCAAACTACGAATTCTCTGCATTATATTCACACCACACATTGCTCTCAGACATGACATCTCCACTGCCTCCAGCCTTCTCCTTGCTGCAACATTCATCACCCATGCTTCACACCCATATAAGAGCGTTGGTAAAACTATACTCTCATACATTTCCCTCTTTGCCTCCAAGGACAAAGTTCTTTGTCTCCACAGACTCCTAAGTGCACCACTCACTCTTTTTCCCTCATCAATTCTATGATTCACCTCATCTTTCATAGACCCATCCGCTGACACGTCCACTCCCAAATATCTGAATACATTCACCTCCTCCATACTCTCTCCCTCCAATCTGATATTCAATCTTTCATCACCTAATCTTTTTGTTATCCTCATAACCTTACTCTTTCCTGTATTCACCTTTAATTTTCTTCTTTTGCACACCCTACCAAATTCATCCACCAATCTCTGCAACTTCTCTTCAGAATCTCCCAAGAGCACAGTGTCATCAGCAAAGAGCAGCTGTGACAACTCCCACTTTGTGTGTGATTCTTTATCTTTTAACTCCACGCCTCTTGCCAAGACCTTTGCATTTACTTCTCTTACAACCCCATCTATAAATATATTAAACAACCACGTGACATCACACATCCTTGTCTAAGGCCTACTTTTACTGGGAAATAATTTCCCTCTTTCCTACATACTCTAACTTGAGCCTCACTATCCTCGTAAAAACTCTTCACTGCTTTCAGTAACCTACCTCCTACACCATACACTTGCAACATCTGCCACATTGCCCCCTATCCACCTGTCATACGCCTTTTCCAAATCCATAAATGCCACAAAGACCTCTTTAGCCTTATCTAAATACTGTTCACTTATATGTTTCACTGTAAACACCTGGTCCACACACCCCCTACCTTTCCTAAAGCCTCCTTGTTCATCTGCTATCCCATTCTCCGTCTTACTCTTAATTCTTTCAATAATAACTCTACCATACACTTTACCAGGTATACTCAGCAGACTTATCCCCTATAATTTTTGCACTCTCTTTTATCCCCTTTGCCTTTATACAAAGGAACTATGCATGCTCTCTGCCAATCCTAGGTACCTTACCCTCTTCCATACATTTATTAAATAATTGCCCCAACCACTCCAAAACTATATCCCCACCTGCTTTTAACATTTCTATCTTTATCCCATTAATCCCGGCTGCCTTACCCCCTTTCATTTTACCTACTGCCTCACGAACTTCCCCCACACTCACAACTGCTCTTCCTCACTCCTACAAGATGTTGTTCCTCCTTGTCCTATACACGAAATCACAGCTTCCCTATCTTCATCAAACATTTAACAATTCCTCAAAATATTCCCTCCATCTTCCCAATACCTCTAACCTCTCATTTAATAACTCTCCTCTCCTATTTTTAACTGACAAATCCATTTGTTCTCTAGGTTTTCTTAACTTGTTAATCTCACTCCAAAACATTTTCTTATTTTCAACAAAATTTGTTGATAAACATCTCACCCACTCTCTCATTTGCTCTCTTTTTACATTGCTTCACCACTCTCTTAACCTCTCTCTTTTTCTCCATATACTCTTCCTCCTTCCATCACTTTCTACTTTGTAAAAACTTCTCATATGCTACTTTTTCTCCCTTACTACTCTCTTTACTTCATCATTCCACCAATTGCTCCTCTTCCCTCCTGCACCCACTTTCCTGTAACCACAAACTTCTGCTGAACACTCTAAACACTACATTTTTAAACCTACCCCATACCTCTTCGACCCCATTGCCTATGCTCTTATTAGCCCATCTATCCTCCAATAGCTGTTTATATCTTACCCTAACTGCCTCCTCTTTTAGTTTATAAACCTTCACCTCTCTCTTCCCTGATGCTTCTATTTTCCTTGTATCCCATCTACCTTTTACTCTCAGTGTAGCTACAACTAGAAAGTGATCTGATATATCTGTGGCCCCTCTATAAACATGTACATCCTGAAGTCTACTCAACAGTCTTTTATCTACCAATACATAATCCAACAAACTACTGTCATTTCGCCCTACATCATATCTTGTATACTTATATATCCTCTTTTTCTTAAAATATGTATTACCTATAACTAAACCCCTTTCTATACAAAGTTCAATCAAAGGGTTCCCATTATCATTTACACCTGGCACCCCAAACTTACCTACCACACCCTCTCTAAAAGTTTCTCCTACTTTAGCATTCAGGTCCCCTACCACAATTACTCTCTCACTTGGTTCAAAGGCTCCTATACATTCACTTAACATCTCCCAAAATCTCTCTCTCTCTCTCCCCTCTACATTCCTCTCTTCTCCAGGTGCATACATGCTTATTATGACCCACTTTTTGCATCCAACCTTTACTTTAATCCACATAATTCTTGAATTTACACATTCATATTTTCTTTTCTCCTTCCATAACTGATCATTCAACATTATTGCTACCCCTTCCTTTGCTCTAACTCTCTCAGATACTCCGGATTTAATCCCATTTATTTCCCCCCACCGAAACTCCCCTACCCCCTTCAGCTTTGTTTCGCTTAGGGCCAGGACATCCAACTTCTTTTCATTCATAACATCAGCAATCATCTGTTTCTTGTCATCCGCACTACATCCACGCACATTTAAGCATCCCAGCAATATAATATACATTACAAATAGAATTAGGTACACAGCCATTCAATTTTTTTTTAAGTGTTGATTTCATCAAAAATAATATAGTTCATGATACTCTTACATTGTTAATGTGGTTACTTAACACCATCATCTGTCAACACCTACCAGCACTATCACCTTGTGACACCATCTAACACCACCCTTCACCATCACTGAAGGCCAACAATATTTTCTTATTATAGTTGCTACCATGATTACAACCAAC